ATTCTGATTATCACACAGACACCAAATTTCATCAAAAGTCACAGCACGAAAAAAGATAAAATTTCAAACGACTGGTCAGCAAACATATTCACGCAATTTTTCTGATCATCTTCCGATCTTAGGTCAGTCTCTATAATGTCCACTGACTTAGCTTCTTTTCTGCTACCCACTCCTCTACAGCTGCTCACCAACTGCGCTACCTGACGCCTGAGAATATGACGGTAGTTTCAGCTTAGTTACTTTCAGTTTTCCCTTTGTTAACTTTATAGAAAATCTGTCATTTAAAGCAGAAAAGCCCCTTCAACATCAGTAGAAACTTTTTTACGTTATCTTGAGAAAATGTCTTGACGAGCATCTAATGTAGATACGCCGTGTTAGTGAGAGATCTGATACTGTAGAACGTATGCAACAATTTTCCATAACTGAGAATTAATAGTTTTTGTAAAAGAGATCTTCTGATATATCGAAAAAAATAAAGTGAAAGTACATGTTTTATCCTGTGAAATGATACCAAGGCAATGTTTAATCCTCTTTTAAATAAAAAGTTACAGTTGTAAAAAAATACTTTTAACAAAAACAGTCGTCCTGAGTGTAATAACCTAACAAAACAGAAGATATAATAACTAAAGTTATACATATCGACCACCCAAACTTCGCAACAAAAGCTTTTTTTTTTAGACTTTTGATCAGCATTTCAAATTTTGAAACTGTAAATGGTTACTAAAATTAAGCAGCTCTAAACAACGACAAATTTATGGCTTCACTAAAAAAAATTAACAATATACGAAAAACATTCTAAAAGGGATAATTTAATTCAATACTTACAATAATAGTTACTTTTGAATACCGTTCACATTTATTACTTTTAATAGATCAGTAAAATCCATCACTGATGGCTTACTTTAGTGCTTTTTTCAGTCACGAATGGTAAACAAACAGTGCTTTTTATTTTAATTTTCTCTCCTGCTAATTTGCCATAAGATTCAAACTACGTTTAAACTACTCTACGACTCAAACTACGTTTAGCAATATGTGTCAGCAGTTTTACAAAAATTTAAAATTGAACAATTAAAGTTCAAAAATGATCAACAACTGAAAGGTTTCAATTTTGTTATTCAGCTTATTTTCAGGTACTTTTGTAATCGGTGTTCACGGTTTTTTAATTTATTTTAACATCAGTTATGCCCTATAAAGAATTTCAATTTTAACACTCATATTCAAGAGCAACTATACTGTTGGAAAGATCGCTGTAAATTAAAAGATATCTCTACAAAAAAAAAAATTTATGTCAATCTAAAGAACACAGATTGTAATCACCAAATAAACATATAAAAAATTTTTTTTCAAGAAAGACCGAGAAAAAAAAAGGTGAATTGCAAAACGATTGATTTAATACCAAATAAAGCAAATAATAATGTTCGCAATGAAAAACCTGAATAAATTCGGTGACTTTTAATTGACAATTTTGTCAAAAAAATAAATAAATAAATTATGTTATTATACGTTTAACCCGTCTTTATTGTCGTTTGGAACAGACTAAGAGCTTAAATCTTCAACGTTTCTAGGTGACAGTTAAAATAATTTTTTGAACAAAACAAGGAATTAAGCAAGTTTAATAAATAAAAACCTGTAAAATACATTCATCAATTAACAGGTATCAGCAGTACCAACAGCAATTATAACAACGATAACCAAAAAAAATAGGAACGACAAGAGAGCACTCTAAGTTACTTACTTTTACGGTCATCATCAGAACACTGTTTGATCACGAGTTAATCAGGAATTTTACAGAGAAGAATAAACGTATAATGTTTCTTTTTTTTTTCTTCGTTTGGGTATGTGTGTGTGTGTGTGAACACACATTTCGAATCGTAGAAGGTTAGAAAATCACAGCAACTCCACTTTTAAATTAAAAAAAAAAATCAGTTGTACAAAAAATAAACCTGTTTCTAAGAGGAGGAAAAAGTAACGTTTTTTTTACTAGTTGTTTAAGTATATGTTTCGTAAGATCCCATCTAATTTGGTAACACTTACGGTGTTAAATGACTAACTGATTAGGCATTTTTTTTTTTAGTTCTCAACAGAAGTATTATTTCATTTTTCGGTAAAAAAAAAAAAAGCATCAAGTGAAAAGCGCAACAAATTTTGGCTACAATACAACAAAATTTAGCAAATTCTGTATCATCAGTGCTGTCAAACTGTTGCTGTAAAAAAAAACAACCTCCTTCCCCCCCTCCTCTCCTACCACCCATCCACGAAGAAAAAAATGAAGACGCTGGTAAGTGCGGTTTCAGAATGTTGAAATCGGAAACTGTTGTGGTAAAGACAACCATATAAATGCCTTGTCAGGCAATTCATTATAAAACTATTAAAAAAAAAACGGAAAAAAAAAGAATGAAAAAGAAAGGAAAGGAAAATACAGAACCTTCTTTTTATTTTTAACAATGGATAAATAATAAAAAGAAATATGTTTTTAACGAAAAAAAAAATTTGTAAATGACGTTCAAAGTTCGAAAAAATTAGATTCAAAATAACCGAAATAATCGGAAAAAAAAAACAAGTTTTTTTTTTTTTGTGCGCCCATCTGTTTGTATGTTTCTTATAGCAATTGTTCTAAACTAAGAAGAAGCAATAGTAGAAATTTTTAAAATGAAATATACGAAGAAAAATTTTTTGATCATTAAACAGGCACTGCTTTTTAAAGGCAGTAATCAAGCAGTCAGATACGATGTAGTAAAGTTTAAACAGCATTTGGGATTTATTGTCTCAAATAAAAGTATAATGCAAATCGAAAGTGAAGTCGCTAAAACCAGAAAATGAACCACCAAAATTCAACAAATCCTGTAAAACGACAGGAGTGCACATCGATGAAAGAGCAGAATAAAAAAAGAAGGAAGCAGAATAAGGACAAAAAATGAACGAAACATTCAATTCAACCCCAAAAGACTGTTCAATCGTTTTTGATAGAGGCGAAAGAGAAATTAAGACAAAAAAATTGGACAATGAACAAAAATTTTTATCTTTTTTCTTCTTTAACCTCAACTTTTCTCTTCGTTACCATTAATTTGGTTGCTCAGAAAAATTAACTTTTGTATTCTGAATACTATTCTCTTAAGTGCCAGCTAGCAATGAATTTCTAAAACAACCATTTCAGCCGATACTGCGATCAAAAAAATTTTAAAACTATCCGACTGCCGCTTAGGCAATAATAGTGTACGACTTTTTTCATCTATTTTTGCTCGTTTTGTAAACTGATAACAGGTTTTAACCCATTTTGGTGTCCATGTTAAAGGACATCATCATTTATTTAATTTTTTTGCACCAAAAAGGATCCAATACCCGAAAGTACAAAAACATAAAAAAAAACAGAAAATCCTTAGCTTCAACTTAGCAGTAGAAGTGTGA